TTGGTCCGATCGATGGTCTGATGCAGTGATGAATCCGTCGCGTGATTTAAAAGACATGAAATACTCGTATGACATGAATGCGAGCACTTCTTCGGCGAGCTATGGCTCGACTGGACCTTCGAGTGCCACCAATGAGCGGAAGGTATCGTTGTTTTCGCTGAAGGAGTTGCGACCTCTGGAAGTGCCAGCGAGTGATCAGTTGGGCAAATGCCGGTTAGTCACAGAGTTTGAGAAACTCAACCGCATAGGAGAGGGTACTTATGGTATAGTCTGTACGTATGGCCACTAAGACGGCACCGGTAGGTCTTCGGGAACTAATGACATGTGTCTCACAGACAGAGCGCGGGACACGAGAAGCGATGAGATCGTAGCCATGAAACGGATGCGAATGGATCGCGAGAGGGAAGGGCTGCCCATCAGTGGTCTCCGCGAAATCAATTTACTGCTGAACTTAAGGCATCCGAATGTCGTACTCCTGAAGGAAGTGGTTGTCGGCAAAAGTCTTGAGAGTATTTTCCTTGTGATGGAGTATTGCGAACAAGACTTGGCGTCCCTTTTGGATAATATGAACACTCCGTTCACTGAATCTCAGGTCTGACCACAACATGACATCCATTACTGAATCCATACTTTAAAGAGTGAAACGTTTTTTCGGTTCACATGAATGTCTGGTTTTTTGGTTCACATGAATGTCTGGTGAATGACAGGTGAAGTGTATTTTGATGCAACTGTTCCACGGATTAGAGTATTTGCATAAGAATTTCATCGTTCATCGCGACCTCAAAGTGTCGAATCTGTTGCTCACAGACAACGGGGAGCTTAAGATCGCCGACTTTGGGTTAGCGCGAAGGTATGGCCAGAAGGATATGCCGATGACTCCCAGAGTTGTCACCCTATGGTATAGAGCGCCGGAACTGCTGTTTCAGTCCAAAGTGCAGACAACGGCTATTGACATGTGGGCCGCCGGCTGTATATTAGGGGAACTCCTTCTCCACAAACCACTACTTCCCGGACGCTCTGAGATAAACCAAATCGAACTCATTGTGGATCTGTTGGGCACTCCAAACGACTCCATTTGGCCCAACTGCTCAAAACTACCGGTGCTCGACAAGTTCCACCTCAAGCACCAGCCCTATAATAACCTGAAGTTCAAATTCAATTGGGTGTCTGCGGCGGGCATTCGACTCCTGCACCTCCTGTTTATGTACGACCCGACCAAAAGGGCGACTGCAGAGGAATGCCTTCAGAGCTCATACTTTAAGGAAAATCCTTTACGTGAGACTCAGACATGTATTGGATATCCATTTGTTATAACATTATATTTGCCTTCACTCGTAGCCTGTGATCCAAAGCTCATGCCGTCCTTCCCTCAGCATCGAAATCTTAACCTTAAGCGAGAATCAGATGAACCGCCGGTGGTTCCCAAGAAGGCCATGAGTGACGACAGGTATTTGATTAAATGATTAGTTTTTCCGGTACTGTACTTAAGAAATGTTTATTTGTTGACAAATGTGTTGTGATTCTCAACGGCATAAAAGTCGTCCTTTCGTTCCGTTTAATGCGATATTTAATGGCAATAAATTCATTGCACCAAAAATGCCAAAACTCTGATTCAATCACATGTAATATAAAGTCAATCATTGTTTTCAGTTTATTTAAATACATTTTGAAAAATAAAGATTTTATTTTTTAATGTTCTCAATCATTACAGTAATACTGTTATACAAATTAGTGAATTTCATGGATTGGTGCCATTGGTTTGCAAATGATTACAAGTTACAGAACTTACGAATGGCTAGAATATACTCAGCCTTTCTAGAGGCCGCGGGTATAATGCCTTTGGATTCACAAAACGCTTGCAATTCAGCCACTTTTAGAGTTCCCAACTATGGGGTCAACAAAGTTATGAAAGGTTTGATGCAATGTATGAATGAAATAGGAATACAAACCCTGTCTTCTTGGGCTAATTGGAGCACATTTTCCGGAACGGGAACCGCCTTTTTCTCGGGACCAACCATTGCATACCGCAGGTCGTATAGTAAGTTAACCATGTATAGTATTGGCCGAAAGAGAAGTTACAAGAGTATCAATCCAACACAAACCGAAAGTAGCTTCCCGAGCCCTAGCTGTGGTCAACGCTCAGGAAGCTACTATCGCCAATGAGTCTGAAGGACAGGATTAGGAAAGTCTTTTGTGTCGAAATTAAAGGACAACTTTTCCACTATATTTGAGGCCAATTCCAGAGCATTGGGTTCGATGTCCACGGCTTCCGCTTCTTTGATGGACGGATCCCTTCTTACGTTCTCTTTGAACGGCAAGTATATGACGTGAAAACCTCCCGCTTTGTCCTTCACATCCATTCAATAAATTAGTTTCAAATCAAGATATTTATCAAAACACTAACCAATGGTTTGCATTCCAACTGCGGAAAGAGAGCCACTATATTAGGCGCCGACCGTCCGGACTCTCACTAGGATGTCTAGCCCTAAAACAGAGAAACACATGTGGAAGACTCCTCACGCAATTTGTTTCACCATGACGGAAAGTGCCGTAAGAGCAACCCCATATACTTCACGCGGCCGGAAAAGTGGAGGTGTGTTTTGATGGCACTCCGAGGCTTAAAGCCCAGTAGAGTGAGCGCCGGCTCTTCAAACTGTTTGCTCGCTTTGAGGGCATCGTTGTTGAGAATTATCTCTTCACTTCCGAACTTGAATTTCTTTACCATTTGATTGGCTTTAACTATAGTTCCCGACCCTTTGGTCCAGTGCTGAACCTCTGCCACCACTTCTCTGTTGGTCTCTCTGTCCACTTTGACAGCCGTTGGCTTTTTGGTCTCCAAATACATACTGTAGACATAAACACTCATTTGGACGTCCGTTGACTGATTGGTCGGCGACGGTGGCCCCAAACGGAACGGTATGGACGCCAACATTCGCTGTCGATGTGATTTGTTGTGCACTCGTTTCAAGAGTGGCTCTAATTTTATTAAAGTGTCAAAACTGTCGTCGTTTTTGAGGTGTGGAAACACATCCTTATATCAAAGGGTTTAATGAGTTATGAAAACATAGATAACTGAAGACGTATTGAATAAAAACCTCATAAAAGGTCTCTCTGTTGAAGACTTGGTTCCCCAACGGAATCAACTCGACTTCAATGTCGAAGTCTTTGAAATCTTTGGCTCTATTTATAGCCGTTTTCTTCATGTGTTTGTCTGCAGATGTATTGCCAGAGTATGGATCCGAACAACAGGTCAACAAAACAACTCTTCGCGTCTGGAATTTGGATTTGCTTTCAATTGAATGACAAATGAGATTAATATCCAAATGATCTCAAGTGTCACCTAAAGTGCAGACCTGTTAGTGAACTGCGAGAGAGCGATGGAGAAGACATCGGCCAAAGAGTAATGACTGTTGTGTCCAAACTGTGCGGCAAAGTCGTGGGACTCAGCGATTGTCTTGATCTCACTGATGAGGTCAGCGCTCGGTTTCTGGAGTTTCTGCACAACGAAGATGTGTTCAAATTTGGACTCATTTTCGGTGTTTTCTGTGCCGAAGAATACGACCGCAAACTCGTCCGACGGACTCGAAATCGCGACGTTTTTCATCATATTTTCGACGCACTATTCGGTCAAACAGTCACTCGTATAGCATATGAATGAATGGATCCATGTCTTCATGTCTTACTTGAATGGCGAGTGAGAACTGATGGCAACTAAACATGTCTTTCGTGGCGTCGATTAAGAAGACGAGACCCTCTTTGCCGCCAAACAACTGATCCAAACCAGTGTCACATCAATTGTCCATTAAATGCATTCAAATGACACTTACTTTGTATGTCTCGCTCTCATCGTCGCTGTCATCGTCCAAGAAGTCCATTGTTTTGGTCTTCAAATGGTTTGTCAAGTCTTTGAGCAGACAATGAATGACTGAATGGATCGAGAGTTCAGGCAATGAATGAATGCATCGATTGTTTGCATTTCACTCGTTGTGTGAAATGTTTTGCTATTTCTTGTGATGAAATAAATGAACCCTTTTTCACATCACACGTCAATTACGTCCAAAATATGTCAAACAATTGATCCCTTTTTATATTTTTGAATCGTTTTGTATTCAATGCAATAGACGTCAAGTGAAACCCCTTGTGAACGTAAATTATGTATACATTTCACGTGTGGACCAAAACACGTGTTTGCATTGAAATTGAATTAATTTTTGTAAACATTGACTCGTTTTGAATGAATTGATTGTTAATTGAGTTGTGAATGGATTCGTGGATCAAGTGTTGGAAATGAAGATCAAATCAAAAGAGAGTCTATTAGTGAAGACATTCGTGCAGACCGTGAGTTCGGCCACGAGTTTCAGCAAACGATTCAACAAAGTGTGTCGACTTCTGGACGCATCACCGCAACTGAATCCACAGCAATGGCTGTATATCTGGCGAGGAATGTATTACAGCGTCTGGTACTCAGAGATGACCAAAGGTTGCGATGAACTGATCCAAAGGATAGGCACTTACGAAGACGTGGTTATGTTGTTAAGCGGTTTCACGGCTTTGACTAAAGACTGGTTCGGAATCGATGTCTTCAGACTCGATAAATACATGCTTTTGGTTAGAGTTATGACCAATACTTGCATTAAACTGGAGGTCAAGGCTTTAATGAATGACACGTCGAGTGAATCCATTGATAATGACGTGAAGGACGGCAATGAAGATGAAGGCAAAGAAGAAGACAAAGAAGAAGATAAAGAAATTGATGACAAAAGAGGGAAATCCAAGAAAATTAAGAAAATGTTTAATAAACGAAGAGATAATGAGAAGAAAGAGATCGTCTTTGAGACTGAATTTAAGGCTAAAGTTATCGATGAAATGCTATCAATCGTCAAGTCGTCCATTGGTTTGACTCTTCACTTGACGGACGTAGTGATCGACGAAATGATGAAAGTTTTCGCAGAGTTTAGACATAAATTAAAAGCCAATCAAAGGATTGAGTTTTATTTCCACATTTTGCTGCCATTTGTCAAACTGATGGCCGTTTGCGAAGACCATCGCGTGTTGAGTAGTCTTAAGCAGAATATATTCGACAAATTCAAGAATGAAGTCCTCGTCTCAGAATCGGTGGACTCGCGAAAGGATATTATGAATCGACTGATGGCCGCAATGATGACAATCGGTGGCGTGGAAGCCGTTGGCAAAAGGAATCGCGACTCCATTTATGACTTGATCTCAATTCTCAAGAGGAAAGTGAATCAATTGAATGAAACTAATGCCGAGAATAAGAGTTTGAAAAGAAAGAAAATACTGATCGGAAAGGGAAGGCATAAGAAAGTGAAGTACGAAGTGACCGCCAGTTCCCCATTCGTCACATCTATTGTTCCCATTCCTGTCCTATAATTTGATTCGTTTGTTAAAATGAAATAAAATTGAAATTTATTTCTTAAAACTGATGTGAGATTACATTCAATGTAAAGTTTATTGGAAAATATTTTATACAAATGTTTTTACGTTACCGTAGAATGAAATATAACTTTTCAAAATTCAGTGAAGGGTTTAAATTAAAACATAATTTTATATACGATTTTAAGTCTAAATTACAATTTTAATGGATTCGCGACAATTCCTCCACAATCTTAATCAAGTCGTCGACCGTCGCCTCCCTTTTCATACCACTGCCGTCGGTGTCGATCTGTGGGAACAGACATTCATATGATTAATCAAACAATTCATTTAATAGTCACTAAAGCAGTGATTATTATAAAAGTCAGAAAAACGAAGTCAACACAAAACATGTTTCAAATCTAGCTATAGATTCAGTCGGGGAAAGATTTTTCATCATTGCTTTAGTTTTAAGATTTAATTTCAAGAAATGATTGATTAAAATACCATTAAGTCTTTAACGCATTCTTGCATTTTATCGCGACTTAAGTCCAAAAACGATTCAATGAGATCGCCGTCAATAAAACCAAACGACGCCTCAGTCTTCCTCTCAGTACTGAATGAGCGCCAAAAGTCGTGATCTATTTTACCGACAGATTTGATCACTTTATTGAGACGCGACTGGAAGTCACGTAAAAAGCAGAAGTAGTCCTGCGGTAACTGAGCCACAAGTCCTTCAATTAAAAATACAATACATATTTAGGAACAAAACAAAACTTTAGATAATCCTATGTATTACCGATTGCACCAAAAATTGTGCCAAAAAGGACAGGCGTTCCCTGAATGGGTGTAGTTATCTCTCCCGGATGTTGCATAACAAGTGATCCGTGTCTCATGATATTGATATACTCTCCCACATGAAAGAGACCGACTTCTTGCAAGTGTTGCCGCTCCTCATCATTAGTGGCCGCGCTTTACAAGCAATGCAAACATCAATAATAAATTCGCCATTTAATCAAAAGGTCGACAAATACCTGTCTTTCTGACAAACAAACAAATTGAACGAATTCTCTGAACCCAAGAACGTGTCGTCGTCTAAGATCTCGACGGCTGTCATCCAATTTGGCTGAAAGTCTCGGGCTATCTCTTCAAAATTGCCTTCTAATGGCTTATACGACAATAGAGTCATCGATCGCATGAGATCTCCGATCAAAATGAAGTCACCCTTTGTTTTGAGATACAGTGCTATAATTGTGTTAAAATACGAGCACTCATTGTGAAGATCTCTTTGTTGAGTCCACTCGAAGAGGCGAACGGTTGAGTTAATACCGGCCAAGAGTTTGGCGTTGAACTCGACTATAGTATAGGGCGCGCCTTTAATCTCCTTTTCTGCCACTTGTTGTAACTTTCCGTCCGACAAATGAAAGACAATAATTCGCCCCAATTTGGGCTCCGGTTCGTCCGGATTCACGAAACACGTGCCGACGATGTAGTAAGAGATCGGGTCATCACCTGGTGTTCAGACATTGTATTTAGTCTGTTATCAATCACTAGACAAATGTGTTGACAATTCATACCTAATTTAGCAGAGATAACACTCAACGCGTACTCATTAACCATGAATTGGTGCGCATGAAGTACTTCAAAGGTGTGCTGATCTATAATCAACAGGTGATGGACCTCTACTTCAAGACCTATTTGCTCCATATTTGAAGCATTGCTCGGCTTTACAATCGTTGGTATGGATGACGAGTACGTTATGTTTTGGGCTACAATACAACAAAAGCAAACAATAGGTTGAATGTGATATCAATTAAGACTTAAGTAATAATTATTAAACTAAACATTTCAGAGAAAAAAATTAGAGTTTTAGAAATGCCTCACAAAAACAATTTATGTTTAATAAATTGCAAATCAGACAAAGAATCGTCTCATCATTAAATTGGTATATCCTATGAATAAACACGTTGTGATGGCATACCTGTACAGCTGGCACTGTTGCGAATGGGAACCAAGCCGTCCTCGCCCTGTATGTCGTGCCTCATAGTTATGACACCAAATGTTTGGGTCGACTCCTGATAGGCTATCCTTCGCGGCGATTCCTTCAACGGCACTGTTCTGATGTGGAGTTTCTGTATTTCATCGATTTGTCCGATAAGTAGTTGCGTATCACTGGCCAAAGCCAACGACTCCCGGAAAGCGTCCGAATTGAGTGGACACATGTGATTCACTTCCTTAAGATTGACGTTAGAAAAGACTAATTTATTATTCGATGAGTAGATAACAGTCGGCCGATCACTGCAGGCGAAGATGTTTGTCGTCGAAGAGGACGAGAATGTCTTGAGGACCGTGGGTTGTGTTCCTAAAGTGATTTTCTTGCGGTCACACAAACAACCGGTCGTTGGGTTTAGTGTGAAATAAAACAGCGATCCGTCGCCCAAAGCCGTCAACAGATAGTATGACTGCTCGAAAGCGGCCACAAGTATAGAGCGCGGGATTATCTCACCGCCCAGACTCTCCTTATGCATCTCAACCAAGTCCGGCAAATGGATTAATCTGTTCCAATAGATCCAACATTAATCTTAATAATGGTAACTCTCACTCGTTTCCAACACATACCTGACAGAGATATCAGTCCAGAGGCCGACAGCACACAAAGAACTCTTAGTTCCGGAGATGGGGTTAATGTCGAGGCATGCGATCTCGAACTCAGTCTGCGTTTTGTTCACCAATTTAATCAATTGGTCGTGAATTTCCAGATAATAGAGTTGATTACGAGCCGCGCATACGATTTGCGAGGTATTACTCGAGACTACAGATATGTGCTGTTCGGGCGTCCATTCGTTGCACATCTGTTTGGTTTCGGTTGAGATAAGTCTGATGTTGTTTGCGGTCACCTGTAGTAAGAGGTCGTCCCTAACGTTACCGCAAAACAGTGTCTGTTGTGTTGTGTCAAATCCAGGCAGTTCTGTCTCCTCTACTTCTTCACCGGTAAGCATAAGCACTTTGGTCTGACCCACAAATGACAGCACAAGTATGTTATCGTACGCCGAGTTGACCCTCAACTGCCAGACCCCCTTAATGCCCGGCAAGTCTATAGTCGCCTGTTCTTGAATACCGATCCCATTACGGATTATACGTAACGAACCTAAAGTCACAAAATTCATTGTTTTTAAGAATAGTTTCAAATAATAATTTCAAAAGATTAATCAAAAGTACAAATAATTTGAATGAAATTCAGAGATATATACATAAGTCAACACCAAAACAGTTATATCTAGCGAACTGTCAGTCGGGGAAAGATTTCTCATCATAGATATAATACAAACGTGCAATCATTTGAAAAGCTCTAAAACATTGCACACAAACCTTCTTTGAAAGCACCGGAACAGGTGATGAGCTGTCCCTGACCCTGTCTGTCCAGGTCCACGACAATCATATCAACAATTGGACCCAAATTAGTATACGTCTCGATAATGTCGACAAACCCTCCGCTCTCATTGGGCTCTAAGTTGAGTTTCACTAACTGCGAGTCACCCATACGTGAGCCCACATACACGACACCGTTATCCAAATATGTCAAACACTCGGGAATTGTGATTTCGCCCAACAATTCCAACTTCAAGTCCTTAACCCTCTGGTCCTCACTCCTGAGTATTAACATAAAGAGACGGCCAGACATGTCGCCCAACAGGTACCGCAAGGCATCCACTTTGCAGTAGGAGGTGATCGTGGACTGTCTGATGGGCGGCGGTGCAATCGCGCAGTACTCCTTCTCGCCGTTCAGGTATACGATCGACTCCTGGCCGATGACGAGAGCGCCGCAGTAGGGCTGCGGCACCGGTATGAGGATCGACGCCTCCGACTCCACGTTGTCTTGTTTCCACTGCCCCTTCACGAACTCCTTCTCCGACAACGATATCTCATACGTCTTCACGTGTCTGGAGGTGTTGTCCTGATGTATGAACGCAATGGTAGGGTTAGCGCACCCGTGAAGGAACTGCACGTCCGACACATTCAACTCTTCCATTCGTATATTAAATGCTTTCAGTTCTTTGGAGTCGCGATCCAGAGGTATGACCTGTCGGTGCCATCAATGCAATGAACAAAACGTCAAAACCAATGCAAACCAAACGCTAAACAATTGTCTGAAACCTTAAACAATCCGTCATAGAGTCGAAGGCCAATGAGTTTGCCGTTTGGATCAATCATTCCGATGGAACCGGTCTCCGAGGGCCGGGAGATGGTGTCGGCGACGTTGCCGTGCGCTCGGGTCACCACTTCAAAGGAGTCGCCGTCGCGGAGACACTCGAGTATTGAGGCGTTGTATTTGTATGTCAACAGAAACAACAGGTCCTTCTTCTCGCCCTCCGGTCGGAAGGTCTTCATTATCGTCACTCTGCCATAGATTGCGATCTCTTTGATGGGACGCAAAACTCGAGTATTGAGGCGTTGTATTTGTATGTCAACAGAAACAACAGGTCCTTCTTCTCGCCCTCCGGTCGGAAGGTCTTCATTATCGTCACTCTGCCATAGATTGCGATCTCTTTGATGGGACGCAACCCCTCGGCGGTCACCAAATAGATCTCTATTCGCGTCGATTTGGCGATCAATAGATTCAGATCCGTGGCGGACGTGAAGTTGCCTTCAGTGGTAGAATACACACATTTTTCACTATGTTAATAACTTACTTACCTGAGAATTTACGTTAATTTGATTTGGTTACTTAGTTTACTTAACGTTTTGTGTACATTAGTACAGAAAGTCGTTGAGCGCTCACTTACTGATACCTGTGACACAGTTGGACACACCGGAGCCCTTGTGAGCGGTCACCACATAATTGAAGGCCATTTGTGATCACAATTCACATCAACCCTAGTAAGTTTGATTAACACTTAAATTATTTAGTAACGAAAACACAAGTTTCCTTTATGTGAAAGTAACTCTGGCCGCAATTTCATTACCGCGGAAACCCAGGCAAGTCTTTCATACCGTGTTTGACACAACAAAGTTGTGGAAAGTTTTCAAAAGTTTTCAAAAGTATATTCAATATTCAAATGAAATGAAATTATTAATAATTAATTATCGGAGTATTTAACTGACTATACTTTTCTTGTTATACTTTTCCACTGATATATTTTTTTTTGTTTATAAGTTAGCTTTTAAGTTTTTGTTTATTATTTATTTTATTCAATATTACTTTGGTTTTGAAATTCAAAACTCAAGATTTGATTATTTTAGCCTTTAGTATACTTTGGTTTTCCCATTTGATTGACTATTAGGTTTTTAAATGAGTAATAATTGCAGTCAATTTGTATTATTTGGCACTCAATTACTACACATTTAACTGTAAGTTGTGTTGCATTTCAATGCGTGACTCATAAAAGATGACTATATTATAGCCAATTAGGACCACAACTGGATTCACGAGTCATACAATTGAATCATTAGTAAGTCTGCAGTGAATTGAAAGCATTAAACACTTCATTATATCATTATATGTGTCGTCAAAGCAGTTAATAGTCTCTTCACTTGAAACACATCCCAATTGACCAGCAATTCGCGCGACACAATCATGACTGCCTCAGGACTTAACTTATGGGACGGAGATCTCGACGCCATCCGCCACATACACCAGAGGAATGGATTCATTGAGTACCTAATGTCTGACAATCTTGTGGTCTACTTATGCGACCGCAAGTGTTTCTTCAACACTACTAAGTTGGCTGACATAGAGACTCATGTCAGAGATGTACATCACATCTATGGCAACACCAGTGGTGTGATCACTAGACGCGCATCTGAGGCATCACTGAGTGTGGATTACAGACAAAGTGTGGTCAGAGAGACTCAATGCGATGAAATGGACTGTCAAAAGACATTCAAGACATTGCCCGCACTCAACGACCACTTAAAGTACCATTTGTGCGGATTTGGCATCAGATCTCTGGACCACACCCACGAGTGTTCAGATTTCCAGTTGAGTCAACACTGGATTCAATTGAAATCAAAGGGATTTCGATGTCTCGAGTGCTCACAATTCTTCGTCAATATGTATGATATGAGAAGACATGTCCACAACAGACATATCTGTGAGCACTGGAAGAGATTTTCTGGATTGGATGACAGCATCAATTCGGACCCAAATGGTGGCACCATTGCTATGACCACTAAAAAGACAATGACTTTAAAATTGAAGACTTGATGGCGATATCTACTGAAGCGCTTGCGACCAGTGAATCATTTGGATCTCAAGACATGGGCCGCCAATGGTCACCACTGAAGTAATCTATGAGTGCACTGTAGATAATGTCTGTCCTTTTGTTATCAAAGACTTGATGGCCATTATCATACACGTCCACAACATTCATGTCCATCCCATCGGTTCTATCTCTGAATCAGATGAAGAGTCGGATGAGTAAGAAATACATATCGATATGCTTTCATTACTTATTGAACACATTTTGTTTATTATATCATTGTTTGAGTTTGTTTTTAGTATAATTAGTATAATTATAATTATAATTAGACTATATTTTCATATAATCATTGTTTTCAGTAATCATCGGAAATGATTTATTTTGTTTTTTAAATGCATGAAAATTTTAAATAATTAGAGTTATGTTTATTAAAAGAGTGTTCAAAATATTTTAAATAGCATTTGATTTTTTAAATATTTTAATTATTCTTATTTTGTAAGTTTTACTGTAATATCTGATATAACTGTAATTATTATTTATTATCATTATAATCATTATAATTATAATTAATATTATTTATTATCATTTGTGAAAAACATTGTTTTTTATAATTTTGTAAAGATTTCATTTTATTGTAAATTTAATTAGAATTGTATTGAAAATAAGTTACTGTATTGCTGTAAAATTTTATGTATGTTTTAATAGATTAATAGATTATGATATTATACGATAAATGTTTTATAATTGTGTTTTGGAAACAGATTTCATATATTGTATGACTTCTTGATTTAAATTTTCTAAGGAATAAAGCTTTGAATTAATGTTTGAATTGAATTCAATGAATAATTTACTTAAATCTTCGTTCAAATCATGCAATTCTTGTCTCATTTGTTCACTATTTACGGACTTCTGTGTCGATGACTTGGATTCTTGTGCGCTATGTTTG